TCAGGAAGACAAAGACCCTTAAAATCTACATACCCCACCCAAGATAGGAGATAATAGGATTAACCCACCACCATCAGAATACCAGAAACGCACACTCAGACTCCAAACAAAAGCCCAAGAGGATATAAAAACTCACTCCCTACTACATGTGCTCACTTTTTTTTCCAGAGCCAGTGTCTGGCTCTCCTCTTTAATAAACTACAACCTTCTTTCTAAAGCAGTTGCCATGTTGTTTATTCCCGGCTTGGACTGGACCCTGATGAAGACTTTTCCCTCAACACCACTTTCTTTCTCCTTGCTAACCAAAAATGCCCAGTCTAGTCCTCCACAAGGCCATATGAGGCTTCCTTCTGTAATTGAATGTGTGAATGGCCTTGCAGGATGAGGGGGAGAGAAGCTGCTTAGGAAATGATCAGATAAGAAAGGAAGGGAGCCCCTTATGAATTAACAGTCAGAGGAAGAAATTAGGAAAGACCTGCCCTAATCAGTTTAAAAGTAGCAGTGGGAGGTTTGTATTTTTAGACTTAAACAAGTCTGTTAATGTAGCCTTACAATAATATAGAATTAGCTCCTCTAATTACGTTTCCTGTGTGGTTGACTTGATAAGGCTGACGTCAATCTTGCAATTCTCAAATTTGGTCAATTCTTATTTTCATTTGGGTTTCTTGACTTATAAAAATAGGTCAACAAAAAGTCACCAGCACAACTGTTGATTGGCTAATATTTGAGAGGTAGATTACCATCAGCTGGTATTTTATGAAATGTACAAGATGACCAAAGAAATGTTTATAAAACACTGAAAGAAGCAAGTTGGAATGTGAAAACACACGCAAGTTTCAGACAACCATCACATTCCTAGATCTTAATCCATATATTTGTGGAAGGAACAGTTTATAGAAAGATTCAAATGGATCTAAAGAAATGGGGGGGGACGTATCTCTGATCAAATGCCGTGAAGAAATTATACACTGGTGCAAAAATAAGAAATATATATATATATTTATATGGATTTAGATATGGCATCAAGAGATAGAGTTCTTTGGAAACCAATATGTGAATTTTCTAATTCTTGATTAAAAAAGAAACTTATACTTCTTGGGAATACACTGAAATCGAAACATAGATAGAAAGAGACAGTTTGTTAAGACTACGTAAGTGGTTCTTTATATTTGTTGTAAACATGGAATAGGGCAGTAAACTTAGATATCTAGTTTGTGCTGCTTTTTTTATGTTTCTTGTGAGGCAACAAAATGTAAGAGAATGACGTTTCCACTTACTTAAAAGCAGCCAAAGGTAAACCTGGAGCTGAAGTGGAAGAATAAAGATATACAAGTAGCTCTCAACTTACAAACATTCATTTAGTGACCATTCAGAGTTACAAACAGTAGTGAAAAAAGTGCCATTTGACTGATTTTCACACTTATGACAAGTTGCAGTATCTCTGTGGTCACATGATCAAAATTGAGACACTTGGCAACTGGCAAGTATGTCAGGTCACGAAAGGGGATCACGTGACCCAGACAGTTGCAGTGTCTGGGTCACGTGATCCCCTTTTGTGACCTGACAAGCAAAATCAACGGAGGAAGCAAGATTCCCTTAACAACCATGTTACTAACTTAACAACGGCAATGATTCACTTACCAACTGTGAAAGGTCTTAAAATGGGGCAAAACTCACTTAATAACTGTCTTGTTTAGCAACCAAAATTCGGGGTTCAATTGTGATCATCACTGAAGGACTACTTGTACTGTATGCCTTAGTTAGAATTTGTCATTTCAGGCTCATAGGAGTAATTCTGGAAACATCTGGCAATCTTTTTTTTTTTTTTAAAGTACTTAATACCTCCTTCTTTTTTCTGCCTCTCACAAGGCCCCCTCTAAGGCACAATTATAACAGGATATAAATACTAAAGCTCCCGGAAAATATTTATGGAGAGGCCTCTTTGTGAAGAACGCAAGGCATAGCATAATAATGTGAGGTCTTGATCTCCTTCGGATGTGATTCAAAAGGAGACACATTAATTGCCCAGCTGTTCCACAGCAGTTTTGTAAACTGCTACCTTACTTCTGAAATCTTCTTCGTTGGGGGTCTGCGATGGCTTTTCAGGATCTATCTTTTCAGGTCTGAGTAAAAAACTGGCTCATCAAAATCAAAAGAGGATATGAGGCTACAATCTAAAATAGACCCTAAAAGAGGTCAAAGATGTCACCCAACTTCCCACAAAGGCTGATCGTATCCAGTTTCTTATATCAGGGCTTGGTTGTCTCTTATTCCAGTGACCAGGGAGATGCTGCAAATATTTAGGGTTCAGGCACTCCAGTTCCAATTTTATATTTCAGTGTATCCCCCAAAACTGACACAATTTCCACATGGTGCAAAGTTAAACATAGCACATTTCTGCAAATTTGAATACCTGCTTATACAGATGGTCCTTGAGAATAGAATAGAGTAGAGTAGAGTAGAACAGAACAGAACAGAACAGAACAGAACAGAATAGAATAGAATAGAATAGAATAGAATAGAATAGAATAGAATATCTATGGCATTTGATGGTGAGTCAATATCCTAATAAAGGCTGGTAGGACAAGTTGTCACGTATAAACAGCCCTCAAACTTCACTCCCCCATGCACTGATGATGTTATCAAGCCAGTTTCGTTGACCACCAGAAGCCATTGCGACTGACAGTGTCCTATTTGAGTCTCATCTGATATAAATACCCAGATGTTATTCTTTCGGATTGAAACCTTTCAACTCTACTGGGAATTGAACTCATAGAGCTTTAGGAACTTTAGATGATTATATTGTGTGCATTAGCTTTGGAGCTACACAGGAAGAATTTACCTGGATTGTATATACAGTTCACCTTCTAAGTGTCTACTGAGATTCTCAGTCATTCAAGTCATGGTTGTCCCAAAGGTGCTTTTTCAGGAGGCAACTGGACTTTCTTGTTTTTCTTTGAAGACGCTTTGCATCTCATCCAAGAAGCTTCTTCAGTTCTGACTAGAAGGTGGAGAATGGAAGGATTTATATTGCTTGCAAATGACCAGCTGTCTGCAAGGAATATAAATCCATTCCCCACCATCTAGTCCAGGGGTGTCATACTCAATTTCAATGAGGACCACATCAGCATTGTGGTTAACCTCAGGGGGCCGGGTGGGTGTGGCCAGGGTAGGTGTGGCCTACTGGGTGGGTGTGGATGGAGTGGGTGTGGCCTACTGGGTGGGCATGGCCAGCTCTACATCATTCGCGTCAAGGGTGCCTGTGGGGGCCTGGGCAGGAGTGGGACAGATCTGAGGGTCTCTGGCAGAAGGGGGTGGGACCGGGGCAAGTGCCAAGGCATGATCCACTGGAGGAGCCTCACTGTTCCTCTCAGGCCATGAGGGGAGGGGGGGCTTATGGAGCTAAGACTGAATGTGTTTCAGCATAGATGGCCACCACAATATTGTACATTGGCTCCCGGCCGGCCTGGGCCAGGGCCAAGGCAGAGGGGGGCATTCCCTCACTGTTTCCAGGATGGCTTCGCAGGCCACATGAAACCACTTCGCGGGCCGCATCCGGCCTCCGGGCCTTGTGTTTGACATGTCTGATCTAGTCAGAGTTGAAGAAGCTTCTTGGATGAGAAGTGAAACATCTTCAAAGAAAAACAAGAAAGTCCAGTTGCCTCCTGAAAAAAAAAAGCACCTTTGGAAATCCACCTTCTACCTTCTGAGCAGTGAAAATTTTATTTCTTTTATTTTTTTTATTCCTACACCAAATCTGGAGACCCACCCATATCACTCAGAGAGCGAAATACAGGTGCTATGGGTAAAGCAGAATTTTGAAGGATTTTGCACTCATTGTTTTTAGTCATTGTATGTATTGGAAATGATGTTTTCAGCCACGCTGAGCACCAGAAAACACCAGGTGGTCAGTTAAAATAGAGAAATGTCTCCACCCCAAGAGTTATGTACAGGTAATCCTTGACTTATGACTTACTACCGCAATTGAGCCCAAAACTTTTGTTGCCAAACAAGACAGTTTATAAAGTGAATTCTGCCCAATTTTACAACCTTTCTTGGCACAGTTGTTAAGTGAACCATTGCAGTTATTAAGTTAGTGAAACAGTTGCTAAGGGACATTGTTTCCCCCCCTTGACTTTGCTTGTCAGAACGTTGCAAAACATGATCATGTGACCCTGGGATACTGCAACCGACATAAATACATGCCATTTGCTGAGAAAAGATGTATGGGAACGTTTCAAGGATATTCTAACCCAGTGGTCTTCAAACTTGGCCCTTTTATGACTTGTGGACTTCAACTCCCAGAATACATGCCAGTCCAAATGTTGATCCCATGACCGTGGGGATGCTGCAGGGATCGTAAGTGTGAAAAACAGTTATGTCACTTTTTTCATTGAAGTTGTAACTTCCAATGGTCACTAAATGAATTGTTATAAGTCGAGGACTACAGTATCTGTACAGGGGTAGGCAACCTTGGCTCTTTTATGATTCGTGGACTTCAACTCCCAGAATTCCTGAGCCAGCCATGCTGAGGGATAAGGGAGAGGTTCCAAGCTGAGCCATGCTGGCTCAGGAATTCTGGGAGTTGAAGTCCACAAGTCATGAAGAGGCCAAAGTTTCCCCCATGCTGGCTCAGGAATTCTGGGAGTTGAAGTCCACGAGTCATAAAAGAACCAAGGTTGCCTACCCTTGATATAGGGGGATGAATAAGGTACATCAGGATCCCTTTTCCCCTGAGAGCTTAAGGAGATGTGCATTGTATATGTACCATTCTGATAGTTACCAAGTCAGGCCACGAAACGTTCAAAGGAAGAAAAGCAAATTGAGATAGCAGCAAGAACTCCCCAGTCCCGTTTTGAACTAGATATATCCTCCACTATCGCAACTGTAAAATGTGAGTTGACTTTTTCACCGTTTCATCTACGGCAGTGGTTCTCAACCTTTTTAATGCCGTGACCCCCAACTGGTCGTAAGTCGAGGACTACTCAACCGGTCGTAAGTCGAGGACTACTCAACTGGTGCAGCACCGTTTGCAGAATGGGACTTTTGGCGGGCTCAGCAGGGCAGAGACAGCCTGGACAATCCTATTGGCTTTTGAAAGCCAATAGAATTAGACTCTATTCAAGAGAGTCTATTCTATTGGCTTTCAAAAGCCAATAGAATAAAAGGGAGGAGCACAGCTAAGGAAAAGGGGGAAAAATGGCAGACTGCGTTGTTTGGCGACCCCCGTGAAATGGTCATTTGACCCCAAATGGGATCCTGACCCACAGGTTGAGAACCACTGATCTACGGCTTCTGTTTCCCAGATTTGACCATTTGAGGAAGAGGAGAGACTTCCAGCTCTGCTATTTATTGGTCTCCCAAATCTTGGCTTGACTTCAACGTTTCCCTGTAATTTCCACTTCTTGATGTTTGTCTCAGCTGAAATTTCCGGCTAAAAGCATCAGATTTTTTTTTTAAAGATTGACAAGGGTGAATTATTTTCATTATTAAATGGTCTGAGAGCAAAGAAGCCAACAGGGAAGATGCATTTTGAAATTTACTCAGCATGATCCTTTGGTAGGTTAGCTTGGAAAAGCTAATTATTTCCTAGGCTCAGCAAGAAGGCTCAGCATAATATTTTGAGACATGGAGCTGAGGTAACATAAGGCCACTATGATATAATCAAGGGCAATATTGGAGTTTTCAGTCTTCTGGTGCCATGTAAACACCAACTGAGGAAAGACTAGAAAATGGATGTACTTAGGTGAACATCTTTTTCATAATTCTGACTCTAATGCAATATGTCACATGGAGATGGTGGTAGTTCCTGTCAGTCTTCATTGCTAACCCTGGGGGTGGGGTTTTTCATAGTTGGGTCTACTGGCCCAAATAAGAATGAATAAGCTATAACAATGATGGCGAACCTTTTAGAGACCGAGTGCCCAAAAACCAGCTCCTCCCCATCCCACCTGCTCCATTCACATCCCACCCCTCCCAGCATCATCTAACTCTAAAAGCAAAAGGGAAAAAGATGGCTACATTTCCATCTGTTGTCAATGCAAAAACATCCGATGTTAGCAGCATTGACATCATTATACTGACCCGAATTCAAAAGTGTTATATTTCAAATCCAGTCAGATAGTTAACTCAAAAGAAACGATCTTATAACAAACAAATATATTTTAATGAGAAAGATTACTTGCGTTCACGTTGAGATTGGTGCTGCTGGAAATACATATTTGTTCATCTTTCAGACCTTTTCCTTAGGTAAGAAGATTTTGCTCTTTACACCATCTTTATGTTTATAGGGAGACCTTCTATGGTCCATGCTTCTTACAGACAAAGAGATTCCCAAAAGGCTTGTGTCCAGGAAGTCTCCCCAAGACCTTTGGAACTCCTCCCACTGACCCATCCACATACCTAGCATTTAACCCAATAACTGCCAGGCCTTCCAACATAGAGCTGGGCTATAGAGCTATATGGGTCATAGAGCTCTATGGGCCAGAACACTCCCCGCTTGGAAATTTATATTTCCACTATTAAAATAGTAAAAACGTAGCATCAAGGCATGCAATACTCATTGTGGTTAACTTGTGACTAACTAGGTAAAAACTTGGTATCAAACATGCATAATTATAAGGTAAACATAAAACATGCACAATTATGAAAAGGCAAGTGTTACATCAAACAATGCATAAGAAAATACATAATTTGAGGTTTAATCTTCTGGTTCAGTCTTCATCGGCGATGGACCGGTTCGGTGATCAGCCTGGTACAAGTGTCTTTGAGTCACGACCTGACTCATGTGGCTTCATGATCTGGATCTCAGCTGGGTAAACTAGTTCGTCAAGTGGGTGGGCCCGGTGCGCAGGGACCGTGGGCCAATAGTTCTGGTATGCAGTCTTGTCTCCCAACGAGACAAGGTCTTCTTCCTGTGAAGGAAACTGGAACCAAATCTGGAACAGAAAAAACTGGAACCTAAGCTTCTCGGGGATGAGGGGAACTGGATTCACAGGATACTCAGGAACTGAAAAACCTGGAAAGACATAAACAGCTGGATCTGGAAACTCAGGAACAGCTGGGGCTGAAGAATCAAGATCAGGAACATCAGGAAACTCAGGAACAGCCGGAGCTGAAGAATCAGGAACAACAGCTGGGACAGAAGGGTCAGGAACAGCTGGAACTGAAGAGGTTCAATTGTCTAAGCTGGTCTTCCTTAGCAACAGGACTCGGTCAGTGATTAGTCTGGTGTAGAGCTAGTTGCTTGTCGTGATTCCATAGGCAGCATCTTAGGTTCTAGGTGTAAGGCTGCTGGGTGCCTGTCGCTGTAGCACAGGTGGCATTTCACATTAGCTGTGCAGTCCTTGGCTATGTGGTCCATAGAGTCACAGCATTTGAAACATATCCTATTCTCTTTGAGTAGGGTCTTTCGGTCATCTAGGGATTTCTTCCTAAATTCTCTGCAATCATTTAGAGAGTGAGAGAACTTGTGTATCGGGCAAGTTAGGCCTTTGGTAGTTGGATGAGGGTTCGAAAGAGCGCTTCTTGGTGTTTGTTCGTCTGGAGACTTCTTTGGGGAAGGCGTGATGTCAGTTTTATACACCAAAGGTATGGTTCTGTCCGTAGCTTGGGAAGAACTTTGGTTGGGGCCGAAGTTGTCATTTGTTGGCTCGAAGTTGCTGGCATTATGACGTAGTTTTGCTTGGTCAGTCACAAATTCAGCGAGTACAGCGAAGGCGGGCGGTGCGTTAGGGTCTTGGTTCCTGTGGGTTTCTGATATTTTGGCCCATTCATCCCTTGACTGCTTTGGTAGTTTTCTAACTATGATCCTTTGCTTCTCGAACTGATCGAGGCAGGTAAGTTTCGGCATGTTGGGTTGCTCGCGAACTGAATGTAGCATCGAGAGCGTGTCTGCGAATTCCAACATCTGGGTGTGATCATTGATATTGATGTTAGGGAAGGTGTAAATGCAATCTAAGAGCGACTTTTCTGTCAGTTCATGTCCGCCATACCGCTCGTCGAGCCTTTCCCAAGCTTTGAGAAGGGCGGTAGCTGGGTTGCCCAGGTGAGCTAGTTGAGTGTTCTCTACTAATCGCGTGGAAGCCGGTCCCAGCCATGTTTTCATATGTCCGAGCGTTTCGCTCGATGTTATAGCTTCATCTTGGATGGCGGTTTGAAACGTGAGCTTCCACAATACGTAGTCCTTTCCCGGTTTATCGGGGAATTTATGTACACCCTTGGATGCCAGATCTAGTTTGCTTCTGTAAAGTCTCATAGGGGTGTAACCAGGTGGCGATGGTACTTCGTTTCCAGGTGTAGGGGCGCGTGCCATGTTTGGCTGGTAATTTCCTTCAGCATATTGGTGGCTGGGGGTATTCTGCCATGTCACGTGCAAAGGACCTTGTTGGCTTGGTCGGAACTCTGCTGCACTGGCGCTGAGCTGAGGGAGCCCAGGCTCCTGCTTGCTTACGTGTTGGAAGATCTGTGTTCCTGGTGGAGTGTAGCTAGCTCCCTGGTAGGGTGTCAGAGCTGATACTCGAGGCTGTCCTCTGTACTCAGGAATGGTGGTAGTTCCTTGGGGTGCTGCCTCCTGTTGGTGCAGCAGGGACTCTAGTGACTTTAGTGTGGCTTTAACTCTTTCAACCTCGTCCCTGAGCGTCGGCTGGTTCTGCTGTAGGGTCGTTGGTGGTACAGGTGGATCCATCCAATTGCCATTAGTGGTATGGTTTGGTGGGTTCTGTGGGGTAATAACGGTGGGAAGATCTTGTGGCACTCCCCGCTGTGCAGTTGTTGCCGTTGCTGGTAATCCCATCAGGTTCGATGTGGCGACAACGGCGGGAGGATCTCGTGACCTAGGTGTCGTGACATCAACTCTGCAGTTGACCAGCGAATCAGGTCGTTGAGATTCCTCTGTTCGTCTACTCGGTCTTGGGGGGCTTGTGGCTGGCTGTGGTGCTCTCATCTGTGCATTCTGGAATGTGCTTTGGTTGTCCACATAGGTCTGTACGCGGCTACGACGCTCTTCGTTTTCCAGTTGTTGTCGGTCTGGCAAGAAAGTGGTGTACTGGAGTATTTTCTGAAGGCCTTCCGCTCTAGCCATTTTGTCTGCCATAATTTTTTGGCATTGAGTAAGTTCAAGTTCGTTTTGGGCGTCCTTTCTTTTGGCTGCTATAGCCTTTAGCTTGGCCTCTATTTCAGCTTCCTCAAGTTCTATGGCTGACAACTCCTTCTTTTTCTGCCTCTCCTCTTGTGCCACACGAAAGACAGCTTCAGTGGCTTTAGCATCTAAGATTATTTGCTCTTCTTGTGAAATTCTGGATGCTCGGCTGCGGCGGGAGGATGCCTTCGAAAGGCGGGAGGCGTCTGTGACATGTGATTGTTGGGACACGCTAGAGTGTGCCCTGGACATGTGGCGGAAGGATGAGGCCTTTCCAGAAACCTGAGATGGATCTGCGTGCGATCGTTGGGATGGTGCATGTGAAAAGCATGAAACTTCGGACTCGGCTCTGTCAACCGGACTGCCTCTGTGGTGAGGCTCGGGCTGTGGGAAACCCTGTGAGCTTTCTAGAAACTTCTTGCGTTCCTCGTTTAATAGCTGGAGGCTTTGCATCTCGCTGTCGACACTTGGGTCTCTTAATTGGTCTTGAACGTCCTTGAGTTGCTGTTCAGAGTCCATCCATTGCACATAGGCGTCTTCCTTATCTCCTTCCACTGCGTGTGCCCATTCTGGGGAGAGTTCCTCCTTCTGTTCGTGGTAGAGTTTGTATAATCTCTTCCAGCTTCTTTCATGGCGCCTGTGGATGGTGTGCCATTTCTCCATCAGATGTGAGTGCATGGCTTCTGTGAGCTTTCTGCATTGTCTAAGATCGTATTGACCCTGAGACGTTTTGGGCTTTGTTGAGGCTTGAGTTTCAGCCTCTGCATACTGGTCAATGTTGGCTGTGTGCAGAATCTCTCCTGGACTGACTGGTTGGGGTGTTTCAACTAGGCTAGTTAATTGAGCCCCTTTGTCCAAATCAGTAAGACACTCCTCCATGGTTAGGGTAGGTTCCGTGTCCTTCTCAGCTATTTTGAAGAGAATTTGAAGAACTTA